CTTTTTATAATTCAGGTGCACACAGGAGCAGTATTTAGGACTGCAATGATGAAAAGGTGTAGCATTACCTGCTTTAAAGCACCTGCCAATTAATTAGCCCATACTCTCCATAGCAAATAAAGCAAAGCAGTCAAATCCATTTGATCTCCTAGATTTAGACTGTGATTGAAAAGACCATGGAGTAAGACTGAAAAACTAATCTTTTATGATTCTCTACAACTTTTTGTTCAAAAGAAAGCTTAAACCCGCCCAGTGACTTTCTTAAACTTTTGGAAGATTTAACTATGAGAGCTTTACTCCACAATCCATTGTTTTGGTACTGGTGAGGCAACACGTTTGCAGTACTTGCATGTTAATGAAAATGCCATAAGATGTGCTATGTGCTTTTAGATGAAAATTAAAAGGACAAACAAAAATCAATGAAGAATGTTGTAATTGATTCTTGATTGTTTTAATGTGTTTTTCAATTGCATGGCTGTCTTCTGTTATTCTTTTGAAAGAAAAAGATGTATCTTCTCAGATAGAACAGGTCACCAGAGACCTACAGATTAAAAACAGATTAAAAATCTTGTTATTCTTACAAGCATTAAGTCGTATTTTATATGATTCTCCATTATAAATCTGTTATTATCTGTATACTTCATAATCTATATTAACCTATTCTTAATCATACACTATGGTGAGGGGGGACAGGTAAACATCTCTCCCTTTCAGGGCAAGGCCTGTGAAGCATTTGGCACAAGTCGTCTTCCTTCATCTCTGAGAGACTGAAAAGCATCCATCACAAGTCTGAGGCCTTCCACTGATACCTGCTGTCCATACCAGGCTGGAATAATCAATTCATTTTATGTCTGTGATAAATTAAATACTGAGGAAAACTGTGCAGAGGAGAGGAGATGGAAAACCCAGTTCTTCCAGTCAATACCAGGCTGGATTAATCAATTCATTTTATGTCTATGATAAATTAAATACTGGGGAAAATTCTGCAGAGGCAGGGAGGTGGAAAACCCTCCTTGATTATGCCAATTTCTTCTTCTTCAAAAAAAATCCCCTCCTTGTAACTTGTGATAAAAGGAAGGGGTAATGCGTGTACATTTTATTAGCGTTTTAAAATCAGGGAGTGAAACTGTCAGATCTTTGTTGTTGCTTTCAAGTGTGTCTGGGCAGGTCTAACCCTCAGGTAACGCCCTTTCTCCTTCTTCTCTCTTCCCTTCCCTTGCACCTGTCCACGTAATGCACAGCAAACTCTGAGGAACTGTGGAGTCCAACCCTCCTCCTCCTCCTCCTGCAGTCCCTGCCAAGCCGGGCTCCTTTTAGCTGCAATCTATCATTTTTGGAAAGCTTCACATCAAAGGAGGCTGAGCAGCAGCATCAACAACAACAAGAAGGGGGCGGGGGCTGTTCAAAGTTGGATGCCAAGTGTGTGTGTGGTGTGTGTGTGTATATGTGTGTGTGGGGGTGTGTGTGCGTGTGGGGGTGTCTGTGTATGGATGTGTGTGGGGGGGCGTCTGTGTGTGGGGGTGTATGGGTGTGTGTACACGTGGGGGGTGTCTGTGTGTGGGTGTGTGTGGGGTGGTATGTGTATGGGTGTCTGTTGGGGGTATGTGTATGGGTGTGAGGGGTGTGTCTGTGAGTGTGTGTGTGTATGCGTGTGTGTATGTATGAGTGTATGGGTGTGTGTGTGTTGGGGATGTGTGTCTCTGTGTATACTTATGTGGGTATGAGTGTGTGTGGGTGGTGTCTGTGTGTGTGCGCGCGCCCGCCGGGGACGTGTGTCTCTATATAGGTATGTAGGTATGGCTGTGTGTCGGGGGGTGTGGGTGTGAGTGTGTGTGGGAACGTGTGTCTGTATAGGTGTGTGGGTATGGATGTGTGTGTGTGTGTGTGTGTGTGCGCACGCGGGGGCCCGCGCGCGGGCCCCCGCCGGGAGCTCCCCATCGTCACTGCAGCCGGGAGCAAGGTGTGAGGAGAGGAGGGAGATCGGTTTAAGATTTCAAACGACCCCCCCCACTCCGCCCCGATTAGCATATGTCAGGGGGGACCGCCCGCGTGCGCGCC